GAAGCATTCCCTCGGCTTGCACCGTTCCGTCGAACGACGCCTCAGGCGCCATCGCGTATAGCGGGAGTGCGCACGTCATCAACGGTGCCACCCTCCTCGCGTGGTAAGCTCCGATGACGCCTGACCCTTTTAGGACGTTCTTCTTCAGGATGTGGATGGTGGCGATGTGGTCTCAGATCTTCTTCTTGTCCTTCTCTAGGACACCCACTTCCTCCACTGCTCCGGGGCCTCTTCGATCAGGCGCCCGGCAGAGGGGCGGCGGCGTCATTCTTGAGGTAGAACCACTACAAGTGCCACCCCTTGTTGGACATCGAGAGCTGCATGGACGGGTACTCGTCGACCCGATTGTTTTGAAGTTGGATGCCGGCGCACCCTATCGGCATGTGCAGCTCCTGCCTGCCGCCCTTCTCCCTCTTCTTCTAGAGGTTGACAGTGAAGAAATACCTCCACAAGTTGAAGTGGGGGCTAATCCCTAGGAATCCTTCGCACAGCACGACGAACGCCGCCATGTGCTAGATCCCATTGGGATTGAGGTGCTACAGCTCAATCTTATAGAAGTGCAGCAGCCCCTGGAGGAATTTGTGGGCGGGGGTCATGAGCCCATGCTCGTGGAAGTGGGTGAACGACATCACATAGCCGTCGGGCGGCAACGGTGAATCCTCGTTATCGGGTAGCAACCACTCCTCGATCGAGGTCCACGCGTGGAGAAGACCACGATAGACGAGGCCCTCCATGCGCTGGAAGGTGATATCAGAACGGCACCACGGATCCATTGGAGGTGGGGGTGGATGGATGCGAGCTGAATGGCGGCGGAGATGCGGAGGCAGGAAACCTAAGTGTTTGCGGCGGTAGCATGGCTACGGAGGTAAGGATGCAGGCGTGTGTATGAAACACGGAGGGCTAACCCTTTGGTTTTATAGGGGCGACGGGTGCGAGGAAACCAACCGCCCACCTAGATCTCCTCGCCTGCCACGACATGTCACCACGTCTCGTCGTGGGGCGTGCGGACGCAGCATATGGCCGTCCCCTCGGAAAACACGCCGGATGTTTCGCCTCCCTAAACGGGCCATGACCCGTCAAAGGTAAGAGGGATATGGAGCTAAAAACACTCCTACGACCCGTCTAGGCCTAGGAGTTCGAAGGTTGGCCCACCGACGGGTTCGACAATTGCTTCGGGCAGCTTTAGAGTGAGGGGTGGAAAGGGATGGGCCCGCAAGCGGCCAGTACCCGGGCGCATGAGCGCCGCAGGCATCCCGGCCCACGTTCGAGTCTCGACCAGATACGATCCATGGTTTTTCCTCGAAGAAAGGCAGAGAGCCCCCGGGACCGATCGAATGGACCTGAGAACTATATGGATTGACCGCTGAGAATCTGGAGTCGGTCACCAGCTGACCCAAGCTAGGCCCCCACGAATGGGATGCCGGGGCCCCACTCGAACATGCCCATTAGCGAGCTCACCAAGCGTGACACTCAAGCCATCAAGACAAGTGACGTTGGCTCAACCCCTCCAGTTGTGGAAACCGCGGACCGCGGGATGATCACAAAGACGAGCCGACCCTTGATCAGACCCCTGCTATGCGCAGGGGCTCGAGGAAAGTTGGACTCGCAAGGAGACCGAACTTGTGGTCGTAGAACGACAGACCCCCGTAGGGGTCGGAATCAGGAAAGACCTTTTCCGACCAACCAAATCTCACGGCTATACCCCCGAGGGGTCCAATCACGACGAAAGGGAATCGCTGTCCACAGGACACGCCGTGGGCGACAAAAGAAGGCCAAGGCCCTCAGAATCCTCCCATTCGAAAAAGCCTCCGCAGGCTCGGGGGCTACTGTCGGGGACCGATACTAGGGTACCCGAAGAGGAGGAGCTAATGCTCATCAACATTGATTCATCCGAGCAATCAAGAGCGCGACTATAGCTCCAACCGACCCTAGGTGCGCGGGCTCTGCCTTGCCCGACCTCTAGGTCGGGGCCCCTGGCACGCCCGGCCTCTGGGTCGGGGGCTCCGTCTCGCCCGACCCCCCAGGTGCGCGGGCTCCGCCTTGCCTGACCTCTGGGGGCAGGCTCCGCCTCACCCGACCTCTGGATCGGGGGCTTCGCCTCGCCCGGCATCTAGGTCGGGGGCTCCGTCTCGCCCGACCCCTCAGGCGCGGCGCTTGACGGAAGCCCATACCGCCGCCAACCACTACGGGCCAGAAAGTACAACCCAAGGTCAAACTTCTGGCATTGTGCAGGGAGCGGGCACATCTCAACATGACCCGTGCCCGCGACATGTCACTCCAGGGAACTCACATCACCAACAGTAATGGACGTGTGGTCACTATGCTGCCTACTCCCTGTACGGCCGCGGCCCCTTTCGCGGCTACAGTGCAGCAGCAAGGTAGCCCTTTCGGCGCCTGCCCCTGCCGCGCGTACAGAGAGAGAGCGGCAGATTACTTTACATGCAGACACCCAAAAGGCCATTGCCAGCTTCACTTGAGAAACTCGAGGCCACATGTGGACACATTTCTGAACCACGTTCAGCCAGTTCTGCCCGCAGATCACTAAATACATCTTTAAAATTTGAAAGAGGAAGCCCTTCTTATCAAGATAGAATGGAACATGAGGCTACATCTAAAAAGGGAATTTTCTCAGAAGACTCATCTAGTTTCAACAAGTCATTAGAGGTATCTTGATTTCCATCCATCACATAGAATTGTATTTATGTTTTTGTGTATGGATCAGCACATAATTACATGCTACAAGATCAGAGATGCCATAGTCAATAACATAAACTAGAAACAAATGCTTGTGCCTGGATTGCTGTGAAAAACCTAGCACGCAACACGGCAACAGAATAACTGTGGATAGCTATTTCTGCATTTAATTGTGCAATTAAGGGAACATGAATACACAACGGTTCAATAATACCTAGAATGTTAGCAGTGCAGTTGTTCATGCTGTAGAAACAAGCCAGCCATCGGACTACTAATAATCCACAATATCTTATTCTTACATAACTTGAAATTTTATGCGCTAAGGCACAGTCGTACCAGGATGACAGTTTCTCTTTTTGCCTGTAGAAATTCACTATAGAAAAAAAGTACTCTTAATTTTCTAGGTATGGCATGGTGTATGACTAATAGATTTCTTGCTTCCTGCCCTTTTTTTCTTTTATTGTAAAAGTTGGAAGACTTGAACAATTCTACAATGTTCATTTGTCTATCGGTTATTTCCTGACCATATGACCTTTTTCCTTGAAGGAGAATGATCATGTCTTCTTTAGTGATAAAGACAAAATCAATCTGGCAGACCCAGTGGGTACCCAGGAAAAGATGGCTTCATTACGTTCCACATTTGACATTGGCTGCTTCGTTCGTTCGTGAACTGCCTATCAATTACCAGCCTAGTACTAGCACAGCAGTACAGGTAATTAGGCCTGACCGATCCTTGCCAATCGTTCCAACTTCCAAGCATGAAACCGTCCAAAGGCAAAACTTGAACTGCTTACTAGACTAATCCCTCTGTCTCAAAAAATAGTCATTTTCGCTTCCTAAAAAGTTAGCAACTTTTAACTTTGACCAAATATATTTAACAAAATATTGATATTTATGGTATATAATTAGTATCATTAGGTAGATCGTTGAATATACTTTCATAATAACTTATTTAGAGATATAAATGTTGCACATATTTTTTATAAAACTAGTTAAAGTTGAGAAAGTTTGATCAGCACGATTTCCATAGCGACTCTATTTTTGAGACAGAGGGAGTAGTGATCAGTGATTGATGTGATGCATTATAGCCACGGCGGAGGAAGCATTCTTGGCTTCTGTTCTTTGTTTTCTAAGCAAAGTCAAAACTAGAACTGTTTACTAAATTTGATATGATTGCTTCATTCAAGACCCTTAATTTTTATGTATTTGTAATTATAGAATGATTATGTTCTTCCTATTATATGATTTTGAAAACTTGATATGTTTAGTCAATTCAAGACCTTATAACTTTGTGTATTTACAATTCATAGAATAATTTCTGATTTTTTTGTTGTTTGTAATTTTACTTTTTATGTTTGTTATTTTCCTATTTTTACATGTTTGTTCAATTGAAGGCCCAAGTAATTCTGTTATTTTCAAGACATAAAATAAATTTGGATTTTTCACTTTGATTAATTTTCATCTACATATGCTTTGTTCCAATATATAGAATTTATTCCGTTTTGCTATATGCTTCGGTGAAAATCTTCTTTCTCACATCTATTTTTTTGCTCTAATTTTCTTTCCCTTTCTCTTTTCCTAAATGGAATGCATGAAAGGAACTATGATTCCAGTAAAATTCTTCTCTCCCACACCTCAATTTTAGTTACTATCAATTTAATAATACTACTAATATTATACTGTATTTGTACTAAAGTTACCGTGATTATTTTGGTGCAACTTCTGAGTAGAGTTGGTGTAACTAAAGATTCGTGTGAAAATCTTTGCCCTATGCCTATCTTGGTTTCTAATTTGTGTTGCGGAGGCCTTAAAATCATACGATTTGTTCCTACTTTTGAATCCATGCGATTTTGGTCACCAAATCACACGAGTGACCGAACTCCTCAAAATTACCAAAGTTGTGTATAGATGGACTAAATTTTGTATGACGCACAGGTTGGCTCCGCTAAAAACAGAATACACAAATTTTAAATATTAAAATTCGACACTCACATTTCATAAAAAGAAGCAGAGGAAAAAATATACTATACGTAGTGTAAACTTCAGTGTAGTTACACATGGATCGTAAAGTACAATAAGAAAATTCAACCACACGAACCTTTCAAGGAAAAAGAGACTTGCATGGATCTTGAAGGAAAATAAGAAAATTCAACCACAGACCTTTCATGGGGAAAAAGAGGCTACATAAGAATGGGGGTTGGTCGCTTCTAACAGACAACTGGTGACCGAGAAGCTAGTACGACAGCCATCTCCCAGAATCCCAGTGTGCTCCCCCGTTCTCTCCAGAGTCCAAATAAACAAAAACAATGGCGGCAGCGAGCTCTCGCAAGTTTTCCTTCATGTCCATTGGTCTTTTCTCTCTGCTGCTCCTGATCCATGCACCTCGTTCTAGCTCACTGTCCTTTAGCTTCAACTTCTCTAATTCCGGTGACCCATGCGATGCGGAACTAAGGTGCGAGCATGACACCCGTATGGGCCCTGGCGTTCTTGAGCTAACAAAGAACGAGATCAAAGGCGACCCCTTCAGCGTCGGGCGTGCATCATATGCGCGCCCGGTGGCCCTGTGGGATAGCAGCACCGGCGAGGTGGCGAGCTTCATCTCCAATTTCACGTTCCAAATCAAGCCCAAAGACGAGACCACCTACCAAAGATGCAACAAGAGTGGCGACGGAATGGCTTTCTTCCTCGCCCACTACCCGTCCAAGATCCCCCCCAACAGCTATGGTTGGAACCTCGCCCTCTTCAATGACAGCAACAATTTCTACGCCATCGGTGACGACCGGGTCGTCGCTGTGGAGTTTGATACTTTCTTCAATGACCAGTGGGACAAAACCCCAAACCATGTTGGTATCGACGTCAATTCCATCTCCTCCAAGGCCTACGTGAATGTGACCAAGGGCCTGGTCTCTGAAGATGCCATTATGACCGCCAAGATCAGCTACAACAACCTCACAGGTGTTCTAGAAGCCCTTCTCCAGATCGACGACGGTGAACCGTACCATGTTAGCTTCCGGGTGGATATGAAGGGGAGCCTGCCAGAGGAGGTGGCGGTCGGCTTCTCTGCTGCTACCGGAAACTGCATCGAGCTGCACCAGGTGCTGTCCTGGTCGTTCAGCTCCACTCCAGGACCAGGAGCCGCAAGCTCCAGCGCAGGAGGGCGACGACAGTGGCGGCTACTATCCGTGCTTGTTCCCACGGTAGTAGTAGCTTTTTTTGTGTTGTTGGTCTGCGCTGCCGTCGGCTGCGTTGTGCGCCAACGACGCATATGGAAGAAGCTGCACGAGATCACGGAAGCTGAATTCGAGAGAGGGGTGGGCCCTAGGAAGTACCGCTACCACGAGCTCGCCGCTGCCACGAGCAACTTCGCCGAGGAGGAGAAGCTCGGCCGTGGGGGCTTCGGCAATGTGTACCGGGGCAGCCTCGGTGACCAAGACCGTGCGGTGGCCATAAAGATGTTCTCAGCGGCCGAGTCATCGGCGCAGGGGAGGAAGGAGTTCGAGGCTGAGGTGAAGATCATAAGCCGTTTGCGGCATCGGAACCTCGTGCAGCTGCTAGGCTGGTGTGACAGCCGCAAGGGTCTCTTGCTCGTCTATGAGCTTGTGCCGGAAGGCTGCCTTGACAGACACCTTTACAATCACAACAGCTTGCTATCTTGGCCAGAGAGGTACAGTCACTCACACTCACACAAAAAATTTCACAGTTTGCTGCTACATCTTTCCAGTACTAGCTACTGTTAACTACTTGTTTTGATGATGAACAACAGATACATGATTATCCTTGGCCTAGGCTCCGCGCTGCGCTACCTGCACACGGAGTGGGATCAGTGCGTCCTGCACGGCGACATCAAGCCCAGCAACATACTACTCGACTCATCACACAGCACAAAGCTAGGAGATTTTGGCCTTGCCAGGCTCGTCGACCATGGAGCCGGCCCAAGGACGACGCAGGTCGTTATGGGCACCGCCGGGTACATCGACCCGGAGTTCATCCGGACTCGGCGCCCCAGCGTTGAGTCTGACGTCTACAGCTTCGGCGTCGTCCTCCTGGAGATCATCACGGGACGGCGGCCGGAGATGGAGCACCCGGACAAGGTGATCCCGCTACTCAAGTGGATCTGGGACCTGTACGACAGAAATGCTCTTCTGGAAGCGGTGGGCAAGAGGCTGCTGACCGAAGCCAACCAGCTGCTGGACGGTGGCTGCGAGTGGCAGCTGCAGCGCGTGTTGGTGGTCGGGCTGTGGTGTGCGCACCCAGAACCTGGCGTGCGGCGGTCAATTGTGCAAGCCATGAACGTCCTGCAATCCGAGGACGTGACGCTGCCAGTTCTGTCGCAGCAGAAGTATAATGTTAGCCCACAGGATCACCGGCTCAGGTGAGTCGACCACTCATCAGTCTTGCCGACCACGGCCGAGCACGACCGAGGTTGTTCGACCACATATACTATAGTTAGAGGTAGAAGAAGATGGAGAACATAGTATACACACAGTACAAGCACTAGCATTGGCCAGAGCCCTGTATAGAAGATGACAAAACTGAACTCTCTTTGTTGAGTTACAGTGACAAACTATATATACAACTATATCCATCTAGTTCTAATACAGCGCACATGCTGCAACAGTAACTACATAACACAGCAGGACTGACTTCTACGTCTGTCCCTGCATGTGGCTACAGTGCGGCAGGTGAGCCATTCGTCGCCTGCCTCTGCAGCGGCTACAGTACCACAGCATTGGGCCTTTTTGGCACCGCCTTCCCTTGCTATGTGTTCACACAAGGAAGCAGTAGATTATCTATCAATTATTTTTCTAATCCTACTGCTATCCCTTGTACCCGCTCCATGCCGATCATCTCCTTCAGCTCCATGAGTCAAAGATGTCCGAGCGGCTTGGTGAGGATGTCCGCGAGTTGCTGACCAGTTTCGATAAACTCGATGACGATCTACCCTTCATCGACACAGTCCCTGAGGAAGTGGAACTTCACGTCGATGTGTTTGCTCCGGTCGTGCAGAACTGGATTCTTCGCGAGGGCGATGGCGGGCTGGTTGTCCACCATCAGTGCTGGTGGGTGAGCTTCCACGCCGGTCAGCTCGCCCAGCAGCCGGCGCAGCCACACAACTTGGCAAGCCGCTGTGGCCGCCGCTACGTACTCTGCCTCGCACGTAGATAGCGCCACTACCTTCTGTTTCAGCGACAGCCATGAAATTGGGGCCGACCTGAGGAAGACGAGCACGCCAGAGGTGCTCCGTCGTCTGTTGATGTCCCCCGCCATGTCTACATCGCTGAACACAGTAAACTGCAGCCTACTCCCGCCGGTCTTGGGAAAGATGATCTATTGATCCACCGTCCCCTTGACGTAGCGCAATAGCCGCTTCACCACCGCCCAGTGATCCTCTCTGGGATCCTCCATGAAGCGACTAACGTAGCCCACGGCGAATGCAATGTCCGGCCTCGTGTGGACTAGGTAGCGCAGACCGCCGACGATGCTCCGGCAGAGTGTTGCATCCACCTTCACCGCGGTGCTGGCCTTCGTCAGCTTCAGCCGCTCCTCCATCGAAGTCACGCATGGCTTGCACTCAACCATGCCGCTCTGCTCCAACAGCTTGGAGGCATACGCGCTCTGACCAAGCGTGAGTTCCTCCTTCCCTTGTCTCACCTCGATGCCGAGGTAGTACGAGAGTGCGCCGAGATCGCTCATTCAAAAAACGAGCCCGCCATCTCGTGCTTGAAGCCGTTGACATCCTCTGTGCGCGTGTCAGTGATGATCAGGTCGTCCACATACACGCCGACGACGAGCTCCTCCTTCCCCCGTCGCCGCGTGTAGAGTGCGTGCTCGGTTGCACACCGCTGAAACCCAAGCTCGCCCAGCGTGGCATCAAGCTTGGCGTTCCATGCTCGTGGGGCCTACTGCAGCCCGTAGAGCGCCTTGCGCAGTCGGAGCACCCTGTGCTCCTCTGCCTTGATGGCGAAACTTGGAGCCGTCTCCGCCAGCTCGCCGTTGAGGAAGGCCGATTTAACATCCAAGTGATGGACGCACCAGTCCTTTGCTGCTGCCAAGGCTAGTAGCAAAAAAACAGACTCCATACGCGCTACTGGCGCAAAGACTTCCTCGAAGTCGATGCCCTCACGCTAAACAAAGCCTCGGGCGATGAGGCGCGCCTTGTGCTTGACAATGGCGCCGAGCTTGTCCCGCTTGACCTTGTACACCTACTTCAGGCTGATCGTACGGCATCCTGGAGGTGGATCGACGAGCTTCCATGTCTCGTTTTCCTCGATCGCCTTTATCAACTCCAGCATTGCCCGCCGCCAGTTTCCGTCACGCTCCGCCAGCGCGAACGTGGGTGGTTCCTCTATATTGACGAGCAGCAGCTCTTGATCATTGAGCAGCCGACCAGCTAGGCCTGAGGGTCATGTGCCACTGACGATGTCGTCTAGCCTGTGGAACTGCACCTCCTCACCTTCGTGGAAGGCATCCACGAACTCAGTGATGTCACCGGGAGGTGAGGCGAACTCGATCTGCATCGATGGAGTTTCCTGTTTCACCGGAGTGCTCGACACAGCACCTGGAGTGCTCGGCGCTACTTCTAGACAGCTTGTCACTACTCCTGCAGTGCTCAGCACCATTGTAGGAGTGCTCAGCCTCAGTCTTGGAGTGGTCGGCACCACTGCAAGACCTCTTGGCTCTGCCATGGGAGTGCTCGGCACTCGTCTTGGAGTGGTCGCCACCACTGCAGAACCTCCCGGCGCCACTTCTAGCGTGCTCGGCATCCCTCCAGGAGTGCTTGGCACTCCTCCCGGAGTGCTCTGCATCCCTCCCAAAGTGCTCAGCACTACCCCAGGAGTGCTCGGCTCTGCCGCTGGAGTGCTCAGCACACCTTCCGAAGTGCTCGGCACCTCTTCCCCAGCATCTCCACCACCGTGGATGACCAGGTGCTCGACGACGAAGGTGCTGGTGAAGCCGCTAGCTTCCCCCATGCTCGAACTGCTCTAGTCCCAAGCCGCCTTCTCGTCAAACACGACATCGCGCGAGACAAGTACCTTGTCTCCGTGTGGGTCATAGAGTCGGTACGCCTTGGTACCCTCCGCGTAGCCCAAGAACACCATCTGTGTGCTCCTGTCCTCTAGCTTGGTGAGGATTGGCTTCGTCTTCCTAACGTGGCCGATGCAACCGAATGTCCGGAGGAAGGATACGCTCGGCTTGCGCCCATACCAATCTTCGAACGGCATCTTGCCCGTCAGGGCCTTGGTCGGAGCGTGGTTGAGGATGAACACTGCCATGGTCACTACCTCACCTCAGAACCTTACCGGCATGCCTTTGGCCTTCATCATGGATCGAGCCATGCCGACCACCGTCTGGTTCCGCCTCTCCACCATGCCATTCTGTTGTGGCGAGTACGGCACGGTGTGGTGTCGCACCACACCCTGATCCGTGCAGTATGCAGTGAACTCCACCGAATTGAATTCGCCGCCGCGATCAGTCCTCAGCACACGGAGCTTCTTGCCGCTCTCGGCCTCCACGCGCATCTTAAACTTCTTGATCGCCGCCGTCGCTTCGTCCTTGCTCGTCGGGAGTTGCAGCCACATGTAGCGACTACAATCATCCATGAGCAGGAGGAAGTACCGCCGACCACCGTTTGTAGCTGGCATGATCGGCCCGCAGAGGTCGTCGTGGATGAGCTCAAGAGCATCCTTCATGCGATACTTGGCCGTCTTTGGGAATGGTAGCCTTTTGCTTCCCGGCCAGGCAACTGTCACATAGCTCGCCTCCATGCTTGATGTGGGGTAGCCCTCGAACCATCTTCTCCAGCCGACCAAGCGCGTCGAAGCTGAGATGTCCGAACCGGGCATGCCACATCCACGGTTCCTCGGTGTGCCTTGCCGCCAGACACACCGGCTGCTCTACCTTCAGGTCGAGCAGGTACAATCGGTTCTGGGACCTCTTCACCTTGGCAAGAAGTCGCTGCACCCGGTCCCTGATCCTAAGGACTTCGTCCTTGATCAGTACCTCGCTACCGCGCTCATCCAGCTGACCAATACTGATGATGCTAGAATGCAGCTGCGGGATGTAATATACATACGTTAGCACGCGGTGCTCCCCATTCTGGCACCTGAAGATGATGGTGACACGCCCTTGGATAGCCACCCTTGAGCCGTCACCAAACTTCACCGTACCGGTGACATCGTTGTTGAGCTCGGAGAAGGATG